CGGAGCAGCTGGTAGTTTCGAACCGCTGACCTTAAGGTTCGCAGCCCGATTCGTACAACCAAAAATTAGCTCTGGAGTTTAACCCAGGAGTCCAGTCTAAAGAAGGGGCTTGGGAGACATCTCTCTCAAGGGGGTGGTTGAATCCTTCTTGAGGGATGCGTTCATTGACTAGTTCATTCATTCATTTAGCAAAATTGTGCTCAGCATCTGGCATGTGTTAAGCTGAAGGTAGGAGTGGGTCAGAAAGCTACCATAGCACGGAGGTCAAGGGAGAGGGGATGAGTTTGAGAAAGATAGAGATCTTAAAGCACTGGTCCCTGAAGGCTGTTGGTGGTGAGAAAGCTCCCAGTGGCCTAAGAGAAAGACTTTGTAGGCTTGGCAGGGGTGGAGGGCAGGCCACAAGAAGTGAAGAAGAGCTTGAGCCAGGCTGAGATGTGGGAACCAAAGGGATCAAAAGCAAACTTTAACAATCAAAAAAAAAAAAACAGAAGCAGTTAGTTATTACTGCTGTGTTCTGATATTTGAGGTGTCCTGGTGTGGTGCTGTGGGCTAATGCGTCAGACTGCAAAGTTGTTTGTACTGCAAGGTTCAACCTCACCAGCTGTTCCTTGGAAACCCTATACAGGGTCGTTGTGGGTCGGAATCGACTCGACAGCATATAACAACATCGGTGTAGTACTGTAGGATAAGCACTGGACTGCTAGCCACAAGGTTGGCAGTTCAAACCCACCAGCCACTCCTTGGAAATTCTATACACAGCCACTCACTGAGTGGGAACCGACTCAGTGGGACTTAACAACAATAACAGAAAAGTAGAACTGAGGCAGTCCATGTCAGCGTGAGGGTGGTTTTGAGGAGGTCAAGGAAAGCTGCTGTAAGAGGCAAGGATAGTAGGGGTGTCCAGAACCGAAGAAGCAACTTGAGAACTGAATTTTGGCCGAAACATCATCTCCCTCTCAAGGAGGATTCAGAGACCAGAACAGGGCAGATTGAAGGAATTAACTGGGACAGCCCTGTTGGCCAAATGGTTTACCCACTGGGAAACTAACGAAATGGTTGACTAAACCCAGCCGCTCTGTGGGAGAAAGACTTCATGATCTGCTCCTAATGATCTATAATCATACCAATTGCTGCTGTTGTCAAGTGCTGTCCAGTGGGTTGCCGACTCATAGCGACCCTATATAGGGTTTCCAAGGAGGGCTGGTGAATTTCAACCGGCGACCTTGCTGTCTAGTGCATTCCCCCACTGCGCCACAGAGACAGTTCTACTCTGTCACGCAGGGACATAGATTGGTTGCACCCAACATCAGCATGGAAGGAGGCAGGCGATTGCACGTGGTGAGGTAGCCCAGACTTAGGACCTTCAGGAGAGGAAGGCTGACTTCGATGGCCCGGTTCTGTGAAGAAAGGAAGGCACAGGGCTAGTTTCTGGGAGCCTGCCCAGCAGAGGAGAGGGGGAGGCGGGCCTGGAAGCATTTCCGCTCCCTGGGGAGCAAGCGCCAGGCTGTTCTTGGCTCCTGGCTGGAGCCATTAATCTCGCAGCCGCGGGTGACCTGGATGCCTGACATTCCAGAGTCGCTGGGCTGTTCCGCTCCCTTCCCCACTCCCTTTCCCTTCCCCCCTCCCCCCCTGCCTCTGTGCCTTGCTGCCTAGAGCCCTTTGGCCCTTGGCTTTGGGGGGGGGGGGCGGGGGGGGCAGGGAAATAAAGTGAACACAAAGGAAGACTGACAATGAGGCCGGGGACCTTACTGTCTCAAGGAGAAAGATCCTGAAATGAGCCAGGTTTTACTCATGTTGGGCTTCCGTCTCCCGTGGCCCTTCCCCCACCCCCACCCCCGGGTCTCTTGGTCTGGGTGCTTTTTGTTGTTGAGGCGCTGTCTTCCCAAGATCCACAGGCTTCATGGTTTTACCTGGGTCCTGGAAGCTACTGGAAGCATTATCCTGGGTTCACCATTTCTCACACCAAGGACTGGGGAAACCTCAGCTGCTCTTACTTGCTCTTTAATAACCATCTAGAAGGGCTGCTGGGGAATCGTGGGATTCTCAGAAAACATGACTCCAGAGGATCTCATAAGCCCCCAAATGCGACATCACCAAAGCCACGCTGGCAAGCCACACAGACCCTGCTGTCTCTGAGTCTTGTTACCTGTCTCTGTACCCATGGGCACGTTTCTTCATCTTGAGCCTCAGGTCTGAGATGGGACAACAATAGTCCCTGTGCTTTCTACCTTTCAGAGGCTGGAATGAAAAGCAGACTGCTGCAGACTGTAAGGTTCTGCGAACACACAGGAGGAGGCGGTCCAGCTCCATTTCAGTATTGGACTTCATTTTCTGGCTTTCCTACATGCCAGAAAATGAAGCCACCCTGGGTCCCAAATCAAAAACCCAAACTCATTCCCATCTACTCAATTCCAACTTTTTAAAATCCACTGACCTGGGTTGCTTGCATCTTCTCTTTTCTTCCCCTGGGCCCTGAGTAGATGAATCCTCCCTTCTGCAACCCAGAGTCCCAAGCCTTCTCTTCTATACCAGAACTTGGAGATTGATGACTGTTGTGTCCTGTAGATGGTCATTTAGCCACATGTGGCCCCGAGTTTAAAATGAAATCAAAGGTTAGTTCTTCAGTTAGTCCCACTAGCTGCATTCCAAGGGTTTGGAAGTCTCAGAATAGGTCATTTCCATTATAATAATAATAAAAAAAATCATCCCACTGGATAGCACTGCTCTAGCGTAGTGGTTAGGAATCAGGCTGTGAACCTCAGGGTCAGTTGTTCGAAACTACTAGCTGTTCCACAGGAGAAAGATGAGGCTTTCTGCTCCTGTAAAGATTAACGGCCTCGGAAACCCTGTACAGGGTTGCTCTGAGTCGGGACTGACTCCACGGCACATAACTACAACAGAGACAGTTATTTGGGGTCCATCAGGCAAGGCTTGCTGTCCTGTCCCTCCAGCAGGGTACATAACCAAAATGCTCCTCAGTGGGGTGGAGAGAGCAGCTTAAACTCCCAAGGGAGAGGTGCAAAAAGGGTGGCTGTAAGCCTCGAGCATCAATTAGAGCAGGGTGGGGAATATCCTAGGGTCCTATTGGATAGCCCACAAAATCATTGGTCTGGCCCTGCCAAGGCAACCGCAGTTGTAGCCCTCACATGATCAAATATAGCAGGCTAATTTTTAAGCTGATAATTTTGTATAGCCTGCGAAGGATACTATAAATTTTAGCAGATAAAAGATTCCCGTTCCTGAACTAGAGGCCTTGGTATAGTCTATCTTGGGCCTTGTTTGGCCCAGCTATAGTTCTCTGGGCAATTAACAAGATGATTTAAAGGTGTGTTGAGCTGGAAGCTCAGACAAAGTCAAACAATCTTCAAATCATAGTGATTTTCCTGTGGTATCCCTGAGTGTCACAGAGTGTGGTAACTAGTGTCAGCCACCCCCAGCCTCCCATGGACCTCCTCTCATAGCAAACCACACAGAATCCTTAGTAATTACACCAGAACATTTTGCAAAATCAACAACTATAAAAACACTAGAAGCTACAAAAATAAATGTGTGCTTTGTAGCCCATGCAGACAACACCACATAATTTGAAGCATCTTTGTAATTGGGTAATAATTATAACCCTGTCTAGAATGTATTGTTGTTAGGTGCCATCAAGTCGGTTCTAACTCATAGCGGACCTGTATAGGGTTTCCAAGGAGCAATTGGTGGGTTTGAACCACTGACCTTGTGGTTAGTAGTCCAGTGTTTATCCTACAGCGCCACATCAGGACTCCAGAATGTGTTTGTTGGTGGCCATGATGCAGTGGGTTCCGACTCAGTGACCCTGAGTAGGATTTCTCAGGCTGTAAATCTTTTCAAGAGCAGAAAGCTTCATTTTCCTCCTGTGGAGTGGCTTGTGGATTCGAACCAACGCATAGCCCATCATGCTACCAGGACACAAAAAATTTATAGACAATCATTTTAGTGTCACCCTTTTGACAGTGTCACTTGGTGTGGTCTATACTCACAACACACCCCTAGTAACGCCACTGCCTTTTCATTGAACTGTCGAGTGTACATTTATCAGCACCTGCCTGGTTGCTTGCATGGCACTAAATAGGGGAGGGAGGCCAGGACTTGCAGAATGATCCCTGGGGGTCTACTTTAGGAGACTTCTAAGTGTGACAACCTCACGCCACAACCAGTAGCAGCAGCCTGGGCCTTTGGTTCCCACCCTGGCATCATTATTCACACCTCCTGTTTCCTCATCTACAAGGGAGCTTCCAGAAGCTCATGGGAAATTCCAATATCTTTTCATTCCATTTTTCCACAAAATTTTTGAAGCTCCCTTGAGGGGCTATTCTTGGAGAACTCAGTGGCGTAAAAGATGTATGAATGTCTGGTTGATGCTTTAGCAAATCATGGCTATCTTCCCCTTCCTTCCTTGTCTGACCTTATCTTAAATGGTGACACCTGTCAGAAGTAGCTGGTGTTTGGGGCTAGTAGAGAGCAAGTGGAGATCTGTTGTTACAGCAAGGGCTATGGCTCTGACATTTACTGTGACTTAGCATGAGTCTCTATTCCCTTCATCTGTAAAATGGGGTTGATAATGGTGCCTAACTCCTAGGGTTGTTGAGAAGATGAGATGCAATTATGCCGTCATGGTCGGCACAAGGTGGGCACTTAGTGGGGCCAATGGGGTGGTCACTGTCACTGTTAGTTCTCAAAGGATGGCTGAACTGCTCTTTTTCCTTGCAGGCTACGAGCAGCAGCAGGAGCAGGAGAAACTGGAGCGGGAAATGGCATTGCTGCGCGGGGCCATTGAGGACCAGCGTCGGCGTGCCGAGCTGCTAGAGCAGGCCCTGAGCAATGCACAGGGCCGGGCTGCAAGGGCTGAAGAGGAGTTGCGCAAGAAACAGGCCTATGTGGAGAAGGTGGAGAGGCTGCAGCAGGCACTCGGGCAGTTGCAAGCTGCCTGTGAGAAGCGGGAGCAGCTGGAGCTACGTCTGCGGACCCGCCTGGAGCAGGAACTCAAGGCTCTGCGAGCACAACAGGTGAGCCAGGTAGACCTGTGGAGATGGTAGTAGGTAGGAGGAGTGTGCCTGGGGATGTTTGTTCCCATCCTCTTCTTTGACCCAAGAGTTGGAAGCCAATCCCAAGGCCTCTTGGAGCTCCTGCTCAAATTCAGGTCACAGTCCCTTTGGAAAGCAAGAATGATTTTCTGTTTTACCCTTGTTGCTAGGGTCCTCCCACTCGCCAGTCTTAGCAGAAGCTCTGCCACATGGCTTGTGCCCAGACTTGGGGGACTGAAGACTTTGGCTTCTTACCTCAGTCAGAAGCAGGGGTAGAGTAGAGTCTTTGGTCTCTAGAGAAAATGGGTCTGGAATACTGAAACCAGATTGAAATTCAATGGAACCTTGATCTAGAAGGCCAGCCAGCTCTTAATGCGTCTCCCCAGGATCAGGAAACAAAATGGTCATCATGATCCTGAATCTTTATCCTCACTTGGGACTTCTATGTAAACAGTTCTTGCTGTTTGCAAACCAGATAAAGTTCTTCCCACACAGATAGGGTGACCAGTCTCCCAGGTAGCCTGCTGCTTTCCCAGCATGGAGGCTAATTTATAAGGTTACCTGTGCCTAGACCCTTAGGTGGTACAAACAGTTAGCACTCAACTATTAATCTAAAGATAGGAGGTTCAAACCCACCCAGAGATACGGCCTAAGAAAGGCCTGGCAAATTGTGTCTATAAAGACTATAGCCAAACAAACCCTATGGAGCACCTCTACTCTGTAACACATGGAGTCATCGTGAGATGAAATTGACTTTGATGGCAACGGGATTGGGTTTTTGTTTATGCAAAGGCAGCTGTAGGATTCAGGATAAGGTGTAGTAGGCACCCTATGTCACCCCCTCTGTCTCTGAGTGCAAGCAGGATGAGGGGGAGAGAGTGTTGTCACTAAACTAACACTTACATGATAGTCCTCGCCGGTGGATAAAGGCCAGGGGCTGACCCAGCCCAGCCTCCGCCCTTGACCACTTGGTCCTTGCTCTGCAGAGACAGGCGGGCACCCTCAGCAGTGGCAGTGGTGGGTCCCAGGAACTGAGCGCCTTGAGGCTGTCAGAGCAACTGCGGGAGAAAGAGGAGCAGATCCTGGCACTGGAAGCTGACATGACCAAGTGGGAACAGAAGTACCTAGAGGAACGTGCCATGAGGCAGTTTGCCATGGATGCAGCTGCCACAGCCGCTGCTCAGCGCGACACCACCCTCATTCGACACTCCCCCCAGCCCTCGCCCAGCAGTAGCTTCAACGAGGGCCTGCTTGCCGGCGGCCACAGGCACCAGGAGATGGAGAGCAGGTTTGGCATTACAGACCAGGCCGGGGTGCCTGGAGTGGGGAGGAGGGTATGGCAATGGCTAGTTCCTGTCTGTAACCCCTGATAAACAGTTCAGCATTCCCTCCAGCTTCTGAGCAGACCAGTATTTGGCACTCCAGAGCAGTGTGCGCATGCTCTTTCCCGTAACACCAGCCGAGTCCCAGGAAACTGGTTGGATGACATTCAAGGCTCTGGGTCCATACCTGCCTACCCTATCCCCAAGTGAATCAGAGAGACTTCCCAGCTAAGTCTACATTGTGTATCATCCCAGAAGGAATGTGGGCTAGGTTCCTGGCCTGGGAGTAGAGTAGCTAGTATTTTCTCTTTCCCCAGTGGCCCCCTCAAAAAAAGAGCAAAAAAACTGTGAGGCCCTATGTGATTGTCATTTGATCCCCTGATTCAAACACACACATCAGTTGGCCTCATTTGATGGGCACACTACTCTGGGGCATTGTTCTCTAGGACCAGAGGTGTGCCACAGTCTTTATCAGATGAGTTTAGAGCCCACCTTTAGTGAACTGTCTTTGCTGGTATAAAAAGGACCCCAACGCCTCATGCACTGTGGTTTTCAGAGCCTGGACTGAGAGCAAGTAATGCCGGAACTGTAAGGACATTTATGAAAGCCCATTTCTGGTCCTGCTGCAAGGGCAAGAAGGTCCAGCCTAGATGCAAGGACACCTTTCCCTTTAAGTCTCCTTTAGGAGGGTGGAAGCTGCTGGCATCTGATCTCATCCTGTCTCATCCCTCAGGTTAAAAGTGCTCCATGCTCAGATCCTGGAGAAGGATGCAGTGATCAAGGTTCTTCAGCAACGCTCCAAGAAAGACCCTGGCAAGGCCACCCAGGGCTCCCTGCGGCCTGCTAAATCCGTTCCATCCATATTCGTAGCTGCAGCAGCGGGAACCCAGGGCTGGCAAGGGGTGTCGTCTAGTGAGCGGCAGGCAGATGCCCCTGCCCATTTGGCTACAGGTAAGAGGAGATTGGTGGGCACCATAGTGGTGCAGTTTCTCTCAGGACTAAACACAAATTGTCAGACCTTCCTTCTCAGAATGGAGGCTTATGGGAGCCAGGGAGTCTTGACCCGTACTCCAGATGAACCAGCTTATATTCTGGTTCTGTGACCCTCCAGCCCACAAGTGTACTGTAGGTGTGAAGAGGAGACCTGTAGACACCAGTCCCTCTTCATAAATGTCATTATTCTCTCCCTGAGGCACATCATCTAAGCAAAAAGTAGAGCTTCCTGTGCAGATGCAACTTCTATATAAACCTGTGCCATCCCTCCTTCTCTCAACAAATGGCACAGAAGTTCTAGAGACCCTGCTGGCTTTAGGAATTAATTTACAAAACAGAATTCCACCACTCAAAACATTTGGAAACCAGTCCAATCAGTTATTGAAAATATGGGCAAGTGACTGGTCTTGAATCAGAGTTCTTGCAAATACAGAGTGAGCCCCACCACATCATGTCCCCGATCCATAGTTAATCCCTAGTTAACTTCATTGAGGCCATGTATTGTGAGGAGCAGTAACCATCAACCTTCTGCCTTTCCAGCACACAGGGCCCCTGCAGAGGAGCCCATGGCCTCAGCCCTCCTCCCTGCCCATGCCAAACATGGGAGCAAAGATGGGAGCACCCAAACTGATGGCCCTCCAGACAGCAGCTCTGCCTGCTTGCCACTGGAGCCTGACAGCCTTCTGGGGTGCAGCAATGGCCAGAGGACAGCCTCACTGGGTAAGTGTCCCATCCTAGCTTCTATGCAGGGCAGGACTGAGGACAGAGTGGGGTATGTACTGGGACCCCAAGGTTGTTTCTTCTCCACTCCTTATGCTCATAGCCCCGCACTCCACAGGGAGCCCTGCATAGCTCAGGGTGAGTAGGGTATCTGCCTGCTTCAGTATGCATGTGAGGGCCAGTTGGACACATGAGTGAAGGAATGGAGGCGCCAAAGTTCAGGGGAGAAGCTACCAGACGGGAAAGACTTTATCTCCTCTTTCATAGTCTTCCTTGCATATTTGATTGCCAATCTAAACATCTCAGATACTGGAGCTTGGCTAGTTATCCTGATGGTACTCTCAAGCTGAAGATTTTGTGTAAAAAGAGTCTGGGAAGAAGAAATTTGAGAATGTTTCCCCCTTTCACATAAGCCTATGCATATTTGCCTGTGCCTCATGAGCTCAGCAAACCACAGGCATGAGAAGAATTTTGCAGCCTCCCTCCCTCAGGCCTCTCCACCGCTCCCCTTAAGCCCGCCAACCAGTTCATAGTTATAAGCAAATGGGGTTGGTAGTCTTGGCTGAGTGGAAGCAGACATTGCCCTTGGATGGCCAAGTTACGGGCACCTGGGCAACCAAAGTGGGAGTAGTTGGTGAGTTTAAAGACCTATCTTTAAAATGTGCCGGACTTTTAAAAGGTATCACTGTTGCCATGTGCCTGTGTTCTTGTCTCTCCCCAGACTCTGTAGCTACATCCAGAGTCCAGGACTTGTCAGACATGGTGGAGATACTGATCTGAAGGAGTTAATGCCTCGGAGACTGAACCATTTCCTGTCCTCCTCAGCATCTGTTACACTCAGCCATTCCAGCAGCTCCTTAACCAAGCACTCATTCCCATCAGTCATCTGGTCCCATGAGCTCAGGAAGGAGTGCTGTGGGGAAGGGGAGCTGTGAGTACCAGCATCCCAGAAGAACCTGCTTCTTAGCCCCACATTCCTCCTAGGTCCATGGAGAATGAGGATTCAGCCTTGGGCTACTGCCCAAGGCTTGCTGCTGGAAGCTCAGAAGAGAGCAGAGCCCCCTCTAATCACCCAATTGGCACTCAGGTGGGGAACGAAGGGGTGTGTTGGTTTGGAGGGCTGAGTTCCAAGAGTGAACACCAGGTAGCCTAGCTTGGTATCACGCCAGCCATGTTGTTTCCCCCTGGCTAAGTGTGATCCCAGCCAACTTCACCTGCTCATCAGCTCCTCACTGCCTACTTGGGATCACCAAGATGAATCTTTTGGAAACTGATGAGGGCGTAAGTCCTACGGAAACCACAGCGTCACTCTCTACTTGGTGTAGATCAGAAGCCATTTAAATGGACTGGGAGATGCTGTGCAGTTTGTATATAATTCCCATTCTTGTGGAATAGAAGATGAAAGTGTGCTGATTCAGATTTTGTACCCTTGGGCTGTGCTCCCCTGTCCCTGCTGCCTCAGTTCTTGTAACTTCTGACTGGCCTGCCAGTTATTTCTTCTTCTCAAGTCTTGCCCATGAATCTTTATGCTGGTTGATTCATGGGATACTGGCTGTCTTCTTTTCCTCCATCTTGAGTCCTACGTTAAATGGTCATGGGATCTTCATCGCCAGCCTCTTGAAAAGACTCCACAGTCCCTATCCCTGACATATCCTGTTGGTTTGATTGTGAACCCTGAGCCAGATGCAATGAGCCCACCGCACATGGACATCTGCTATGCCCACATGTGGGCTTCAGTGGCCTTTCCCACCACCAATGCTTTCTGAGGAAACTGAAGAAGTCGTCTTGTTCTCCTAAGTGTCATTGTTCCCACCTGAAGAGACTGGGAGAGACGGAAGTATGCTGTTGAAAACTAAATGAGCTACAAAGAGTCCTCAGAATGGAGCCCCCATCACAAAATGGTGCCCATGAGGCTAGCTCCTCAAGCTACCCATGCCCAGTGCCCTGAAGCAGGGCCAGATACTTTGAACTTAGGGTGAAGTGCCCCCACTTGGCAGCCTGCCAGCAGCAACAAACTTTGACTTCTGATCTTAAAGAGCCTCCCTCCCCTCACCCCAACTCAGCCCCAGGAGTGATTGGTGGGTTTTAGCAGTTTGTCTTGACTATCTTTTGTTCTTCTTGAATTTCTGTTGTTTGGTTGTTTTTTTCCCATTACTTTTAGGTTTTGTATGTGTTATTTTATTCCCATGTTTCCTCAAGTTTCCTTTTTAAACATTTGCATTTGCTGGACAATTGCATATTTTTGTAAGTTCTGACCTCTGGTTCACTTTTTCTGATGTGTTTGGTTTTTGTTGTTTGTTTTCAAAGCAAAAAAAAAAAAAAGAGAGAGAGAGAAAAGAAGGCAAAAAAATATTGTGAAAGGAAAAAAAGAAAACACAACAACTTAATATATTTTGGATGAATATTTGGTATTTCTTTTAAAGTATTTTTTTTTTTTTTGTGCTGTGAACGTTTTCTGCCAAAGACCATGATGTGTGTCTGTATGTTTAAGTTATCGTAAATATTTAAAATGTAAACTTGGCTGTTTTGTTATGCCACCCTGTACCAGGATTGCTGCTGCATTCTACTGGGTATAACAGTATTTTAATAAAAAAAAAAAATAATAATTAAAATGGTGTCTGCATAAGTAAGTGACTGGTCACTAAGAGGGGAAGGAAAGTAGGTGAGGATTTGTGGGACCACCCCCATCGTCATCCCTGACCGCTCTCCATCCCAGCCCTGTCTCCTGTGCTCCTTGGTTCTAGAACGTCTGCCCTCTAGAGCATATCCCTGAACAGCGAGCTCAGTCACTGCTACTGCTCACACAGAAGGAATGAAGGATGCTGATTTCCATTTCCTGACTGGGGAACCTGCAGGCAAGGCAGGCTGATCCTTATCTATAAGGCTAGGATGGAACCCATTGGCGTGAGCTGATTCTGACTCACGCCAGTACACAGGATAATCTCTTCAAGTACCCATGGCCCGTCCCAGGAATTTTGTAAGGCTGCCTCAAGGAGAGAGTTGGAATGAGGGCATAGGGCATGGTTGACTCTTTTCACTTACAGGGAACATTTCTCACAGGCTGGGAGGGTCTGACAGGTGGGTGGCCTCCCCAGGTAGCTCTGTCCTAACAGGCTTTGTTTGGCCACCTTCTGTGGTTACTTCACAGCAGACGTGGGTGTCCAAGGGTGGTTTTATCCTCCCCCTTCCAGGTCTACCATATCCCTTCCCTCAGAGCACACAGAGTCCTTGTCTTTACTTTCTGAGGGATCAGCACCATACCTGCCTTCTGCTTAAAAACACGTGGTGTGTGTGTGTTCAAGTGTGTGACACATTCCTGGACACTGCCTCCCACATGGCTGCACTGCCACTACTGATGCTCAGGAAAGCATATGACTCCTGTTCATAAAAGAGAAAAACATTCCCAACCTTGGGAAGTATCTGTCCCAAGCCTCCATGGGTGTGACAACATACTGAGGTACCTAAGCAGTGTGTGAGGGTGGTAGATGTGGTTGTGGGCAGTTACTCCCACAGGCTGTGGGTGAATTATCTTCAGAGCAGATTCAGGGACTCAGCAGTCACTTGATGGGTATCTAGGATCCTAAAGAACATGTCTAGCTGCCCACAAGGATGGAGTCAAACAGTTTGGAATATCCAGGGACTTTTCTAGCAACTCTGCAGAAGGTGGTGGGCCCTACTGGAAAGGGAGTTATTGTGCAGGATCCCGGTCAAGCCTAATAGAGAGGGGATAACTGCCACCCTTTGGCCCTGCCTCCACTCCAGTCCCCTGCAGTCTGCCCACCTGGGCAGCATTCTACCACTTCCTGTATTGGAATTTCTACTGTATAAATTGGGATGCTTTCCTGGGATTCAGGCTTAGTCCCCTGGTCTGAATCTCTCTGGGTTCCTGCTCCCTGCCTCCCTCTACTCTTTCCTGGCCTATGCCAGCCCACTATAGATTTGCCAGGACTTGGCATCCAAAACAAAATGGCAGTGCCTGTGTCAGAGATCACAAAAAAAAACAACTCATCAAAGAGCCTCCAGAACACTTCATCTGGACTGTAGTGAGGATATCATCTGCTCTGAGTTGGAACCCTCGATTCATCTCCACTTGCCCCCGGAAGAGCCTGGGAGCAGTCAGCCATGACAGCTCTGTCCCACACCCAGCACTGCTGGCCAGCAGCTTTCAAAGCACCTTCGCCTTCTGCCAGAACTAGTCTGTCAAGAGTCACTTTATTTCTTGGCAGAGATTGTCGGGGATGAAGTGTGCCCAGCACACATACATTCGTGTGTATTTGTACGTGTGTGTGTATTTGTATGTGTGTAGGCCTGAGTTTGGGTCGCAGAGAAAAGTATGAAGGCACCAATATCTCCCAGCTGATGCCTCCTGGGACTGCCACCAGCCACATGGTCACCAGCAAATCTGAGGAACCACTTCACAGAGAGAGGGTAGAATGAGCTTCTTGATGGACTTTGAAATGCAAACTTACAAAGCTCCGGAACTGGTAGAGGAGAGGGGGCGTTTAGCCCATGTGCTCAGGCACCTGTGAAGGAGGTGAGGGGCTGTGGCTCAAGGAGTGTGTGCCTGGATCCCACAGATGGCTCTGCTCCGTCCTTTGGAGGCCAAGTGTCTTTTCAAGGGGCAGCCCTGCCCTGCCTCCACTCAGTGCTTCCACCGACACGGCTAATCATTGACTCCTCCCTTCAGCTCCAGCATGTGCCAGGAAAATTCACCTACACAGGGCAGCAAATTGGGGCCCAGTAGCTCAGAGACAGGAGTCCCTTTGTGGCACAAAGAGTTAAGCACTCAATTGCTAAACAAAAGATTAGTGGTCTGAACCCACCCAGAAAGGTCTGGCAATCTATCTACTTTCAAAAAATCAGTCATTGAAAATCTTACGGAGCACACAGCTCTCCTCTGACACACATGTGGTTGCCACGTGTTGGAATCAAATTGATGGCAACTGGTTAACAGCTTTAACCCAGAGACAGTGAAGCCTCCAGGGGTCCTAGGTGAACAGGGAACTAGTTGGCAATCCCACTCTCTTGACTCCTAGGACAAGAAAGGACTAGGCTGGGAGGGACACAGAACTCCTCTGAACAGCCTAGGCAATGTGTGCATAATCGAGACTTTGGGAGGCAATTCTACAAGTCCAGCTCCATACTGCCTGGATCTGCTAGGTCTGGACCAACACCTGTAAAAAGCATCAAAGCCAGCGAGCTCTCAGTATCCTTGTTTGTTTGAGTTGAACTACAATTCACTAAGGAGCCCTGGTAATGTAGTGGGTTATGCACTGGACAGCTGACCACAAGATCAGCAGTTTGTATCCACCAGGCAGCACTCCATGGGAGCAAGATGAGGCTTTCTGCTCCCATAAGATTTATAGCCTCAGAAACCCTGTATGGGAACAGTTTGAGTCAGAACCAACCCGATGGCACACCATCACCATAATTCACAAACCCTCTTAAAGCATACAATTTGTATGTGTTGTTCTTGGTAAGTACCATTACAACCCTATATAGGGTTTCGGAGGAGCAGCTTGTGAGTTTGAACTGCCGACCTTGGGGTCCAGTGCTTCTCCTACAATGCTGCACCAGGACTTCAAGTGTACAATTTAGCAGTATCTTATGTCACAGTTTAAGCCAGCGGTGAACCACAGGGTCATCAACAAATGTCCCATCAGTGGACTGTGTAAACACAATGAGAAGTGTGATTTGATGCAGTGTGTTCACACTTGTCTAACTCCAGTTTTCTAGCATGAGACTTCCATTTCTATAGCTGCCATAGGCCTGACATCCGC